TACTCATATAACAAATGTGCTACTTATATGAAAGGTTAGTTTAGTGTATAGTCGTGCCAGCCTGCAGGCTCCCAGACTTTTGAGCCCACCCGAAAATAAATACAAAAACTAAAAGGTAGCAAGCACCCCCCCCCCCCTCCCCCCACACATTCAACAAAGTACATACAAGTTCCCTTTTTAAAAAGTATTCGTCAATGTTTTATTAAAAAGGTAATATATTATTGAACCTGTTTGCCATTCCGCACGTCACACACGCTTGCAGGCACAAATGCACACATAAAATTACACATTTAAACAAGGTTTTGGCCAAACAAGCCCCCTCCCTGAAAATCTGAAAGGCAGCTCAGTGAGTACTGACCGTAACCCTAACCATGACTCTAACCTCAACTCTAACCACAACCTTAACCCCCCCCCCCCCCCCCCTTTCCCTCCCTCATCCGACTTTTTGTGAATGTTTTTATTGCGTTAAGTCCTTGCCAAAGTGAGAGGTTTGTATGTTTAAAAAAAAAAAATGTTTTTCGTCTCTTCTTTAGGGGAAACAATGAAAATTCGACTATGTTTAACCCCGCTTAGGGCAGCTTCCGTTATAATTATGGTTTGCTTTTATGTGCACCATATGTAATGGATCAAATGATGTCAGTGAAATAAACCACCAGTGTACCTTGTTCAGTCGCTCAGGCTAGCTTTGACAGTATCTGCAAGCGGGTTTGAACAACTGTATACGTGGACCAACATGACACCATCTGCTTGTCCTTGGGATCCAAATAGTGGCCAGATTTGACAACAAGACTATCCTATGCAGTGACATCATGAAATATTTGCTTGTCCTTGGGATCCAAATAGTGGCCAGATTTGACAACAAGACTATCCTATGCAGTGACATCATAAAATATTTGCTTGTCCTTGGGATCCAAATAGTGGCCAGATTTGACAACAAGACTATCCTATGCAGTGACATCATAAAATATTTGCTTGTCCTTGGGATCCAAATAGTGGCCCGATTTGACAACAAGACTATCCTATGCAGTGACATCATGAAATATTTGCTTATCCTTGGGATCAAAATAGTGGCCAGATTTGACAACAAGACTATCCTATGCAGTGACATCATGAAATATTTGCTTGTCCTTGGGATCAAAATAGTGGCCAGATTTGACAACAAGACTATCCTATGCAGTGACATCATGAAATATTTGCTTGTCCTTGGGGTCCAAATAGTGGCCAGATTTGACAAGACTATCCTAATCAGTGACATCATGAAATATTTGCTTGTCCATGGGATCCAAACAGTGGCCAGACTTGACAACAAGACTATCCTAATCAGTGACATCATGAAATATTTGCTTGTCCGTGTGGCGTGCCATAGATTTGATAATCTAATCGTGATAGATTTGATCATCAACAAAATTGATAGATTTGATCGTCAACAGTTCAGATATACATGATAGCTTGATTTGATAAAGCAATGAATAACAAAAGTTCACAAGTGTATACATGGTTCACAATAAAGCGGCTGTATTTATAGCTGGAAGAGATTTTTAACATGATGGCTTGGCCACATGGCAAGAGTGAAACACAGACCTGATCATGGAATCTGGAGATCACGTCAGATGGCCAGCCATGACTGTGTGTGTGTTTACCGGCAGAGCACAGGAGCTAGAGCAGATGCGATTCGTTGTGGGCGTGGCTACATTGGAACATTAGCCAATCAAGAAATAGATGTACAGCCTAAATCTTTGTCCTGATGGTAGCATTCCATCATTCGGGCTAACTTGGCAGCCATTGCTGCTGGATTTTTATATTAACTTGGTACTAGGTATAGCTACCTTTTACCAGCGAGTTCACATTCATCGTGGCTAGATTTCATCAGCCAGTTCACATTCATCGTAGCTAGATTTCATCAGTCAGTTCACATTCATCGTAGCTAGATTTCATCAGCCAGTTCACACTCACTAGATTTCAGAAGCATGAATCGTGGCTAGATTCGATCAGGCAGCTGACAATTACAGAGTCTAACCTTGACCATCCAGTGGACAATCTTTGGCTAGTCTGATACAGCTGGTGGCAAATGTAGCTAGATTTCATCACAAATACTGATTTACCACACACCGAACGCCTAATTTTAACAATGAAAATGAACAATCTGGCTTGTGTAAACAAAAGAAATTCATTAAAAATGTGAACTTATCCCGGTAAGTCACATGACTATCTTGAATTTGCAGCAATTAGGCGAACACGATGTGTTGAGAGAGATCAATTGTATTTCAGTGAATTTCTTCCGTTTTTGTGCTTCAATATATGTTAATGTAATTCATTCATTTATTATCTTGTTGTGCCTTTATCTGTCTCATACGGCTCGCGGTCAATTCCTCCATTCCTTTCTGCCCTGTGTAATTAGTTTATTATTATGAATGAAATCCAGCCGGGCAGCTTTGGCCTCTCTCATAAACGTTTGTCTAAGGGTTTCTTTGGGCGCCCTCAACTCCGTAAAAAATTAAAGTAAAGGACCACTTTCCACGTCGTTCGGCGTATAGGACATATAGGGCTAGACCTATATTTGTATAGACCAGTCGGCACAAGATGGGTGATGTGATCAACATCGCGCCGGCCGCCTTTACTTCCCAGGACTGCACCTGGTACCCACTCAAGGCTGGGTCGACCTGGAAGCCAAAGTCATTTTTAAAAAAAGTCTGGCTGACAGGGAGCGAACCCACGACCTTCCGATCCGCGGCGAGCGTCTAACCGCTCCACCACCGCGACTCCCCCTAAACTTCTTAATCCCTTTTCCCCCTATTTAAATGCCTGTTTGGTGATTCGCAGCTGGCTTCTTCGTTTTTTTTTTCCAGTAATTTGTTTTCGAATGCATGTAACTTTGGGTCCATATCTGTATTGGTTCGCAACTTCCATTGTGTTACAAGTGAAACAACATTAGAATTGAAAATACGTAACTGGGTTTTAGAACTACACAATTCAACGTTCATTGCCTTGTTCAAGTTTTTCAACGCTGCTGATGCCGTGTCACTTCATGTCAAAATTTCCTATTTTGTAGATCTTCACTATCAAAATTATCATATAATTAAGTAAACTGCTTTGTTATTTCAACTATTTTTTCTCTAGTGTTACATCAACTCCATCTATTGTTACTGTTATGAAAATTTTTTGTCTTTTCAACCCTTGATGCTATCGTTGCCAAATCTTCTGTTTTCCTGGGCACCTCGCCGCTGTTTGTACTTAGCAGAACATTATCCCCAACAAAATGGAGTTTTCCCCCCAAGTGATAACGTCATAAGCTTGCCAACAAATTGTGCAATGTGTTATTTGTGTCCGCATTTCCGAATACATTATGAGAAAACCACTATTTTAAATACAATCCCCGACCTGCATTGCATGAGAGGATCATCTAGTTGACAATACTTTTTGCATGGGACCATTAAATTTGTACGTGCAGTAAATAGATTTGAAAATAAAAGTTGTAGCCACTATCATTAGATTTAATTACGGATTAATGAGGGACAGGTGAATAATTTCGTATCAAACATACTGTCATGTTGTTATCAATATTGTATCACTGTGTCTAAACTGGCGAGTTTAGATGGTATTCTCTCTGGCAAGATTTGATCATGAAGTTGGTAGCAACCGTGGCAAGATTTAAACATCAAGTCTGTAACAGTTGTGGCCATATTTTTAATCAAGGCTTATCAGATGTGGCTGAATTTAGATATGCGCTTGGCATGTATGGCGTAATTACATGTACGCACACCCACACAAGGTATGCTCCCCACACCAGGTATGTACACCATAACAAGGTATGCTCCCCGCACAAGGTATGTACACCATAACAAGGTATGCTCATCCACGCAAGTTATACTCCTAACACAAGGTATGCACACCCTCATAATGAAATTCCGCACACAAGGTATGCTCCCAACACAAAGATGCTAACCACACAAGGTATGCTCCCCACACAAGGTAAGCTTCCACACAAGGTATGCTCCCCACACAAGGTATGCTCCCCACACAAGGTAAGCTTTCACACAAGGTATGCTCTCAACACAAGGTATGCTTAACGCACAAGGAATGCACCCCCACACAAGGTATGCTCCCCACACAAGGTATGCTCCCCACACAAGGTATGCTCCCCACACAAGGTAAGCTTTCACACAAGGTATGCTCTCAACACAAGGTATGCTCTCAACACAAGTTATGCTTACCCACACAAGATAGTTTTATGCATTTTATGTTCATTGACTAAATCAATATGTTATGGTCATTCGCACAAGATGACCACAGGGACAAAATGTCTTTGAAAACTCTGCCCATGGTGGACAGTGGCTGTTTCACTTGAGTCCACACAACCAAAGTCTGATGGAAAACTACTGTGTCTGTTTAAACAGTTCAGGATTTTAACTACTGTGTCTGTTTAAACAGTTTAGATTGTCTCCATCGTTTTGTGAAAGTCAAAAGCACGCAAATAGCTCAATGTCTTTAAGACAGCCCCGTCTGTTTTGTGCATGTCTCAAGCACACGTAGCTAGTTCATGGATGTTTCAGACTGCTTCCACTACGTGAACACAGCCAGTCCAGAAAGTCTAACTCTGTAGACATGTATGTACTAGTGACTTCTGTCTGGCTCACTTTCCAACTGTCAGAGTCGATGTCATACATTAGAGGGACAAAGAGGAAACCGCGAGAGATCTAATGATCGTCCAAGTGAACCCGTGACAATGTGGAACATATTCGTGACCACACTAAACCCAACAAGATCCTGAAGCTGTGGATGGTGCTGGGTGTGGGTTCAACTGAGGAAAATGGCTAAGAAACAACGGAATCCACATGGCAAGACATGGCCGACCTCAGCCAAGCTGAGAGCACCGTAAATGTGCCCGCTGAGCTGCCTGATTGGACTCCCAGTCTATGGTGGTGATAGGGCGAGTCCACTTCCTATACTGAAGGTCTGTTTATACGATTACTAACTGTACACGTGACTACAGAAGTCAAAGGTCAACAGATGGTCATCGATTGCTCGTGCTGCTCTTGGTGAATACCAGTCTTCCCGTTGTTCTCCTGTTCTGCCTTCGCTAGTTTGTTCTTCTCTGCGTTCAGGTCAAGGACTTCCTTCATCAGGGGCTGTATGCCTTCGGGGTTGATCTTCAGCAGCACCTGCGAGTGTTCTTCGTTGAGATTGCGAATGTCTGTGAGTTTCATGAGGAGTTTGGGGTACATCCAACGTATAACGTGTGGCGGATGTTTGGACTCCAAGTACCGCAAGAGAAGTAACGCGTAGCGCTCTTGCTCCTCGGCCACATAATGCTTGTCGACGATCTGTGGTCTGTCCGGGGAGTACAAGGCGATCATCAGAAGGAGAATCAGCACAGTCTCGTCTGCCTGCAGGTCCACGGCTAAACTCTTCACAAAGCGCATGTGTTCATCAAACAGACCGGTACCCTGACCCATCTTGAGCTGATCTGTGGTCATGGCATACTTCTCCTTGTCGTACGGATCTAGGAACTGCATCTTGTCGCTGTCAAAGGTGATGACTGACCGAATGATCAACAACTCAATGCTGCCGCCCTTCAGTAAACTGATCTGATCCGATTGTGACAAGGCCTTGAAGGATTTGATCTTCTTGGACATGTCAATGACGCGCCGGACACTGATTTCAGCTATGTTGACCAGCTCGATCATGGAGGGATGGTTTCTGGACACCTCAGACTCCACGCAAATCTCCAGGCTCTGATGGTAGGCACTGACTATCTCGTTGATGGCCATTTCCTCCTCGGGTTCCAGGACACGTAGCCGAGGTGTAGCAGACGACGATATATCCATACTCTGCTGCATTTTAGCTTTATCCACTTCTCGAAATTTGCTGAGGAGAAAATCCGCAACATGCCGTTAATCATCCAGCAACAATGAGATCAGCAAGTCACTGACGAAGTAAATAACAAAATAAACAAACATGTTCCGCCCTCCTGCCAACAGATGGCAGTGTATAGAACAGTTGGATAGACCAGCTGGTATCTGACAGTATCCAAAATCTAAAGGTGATTTATCTGACAGTATCAAAACTATGAAGGTGATTTATCTGACAGTTTTAAAACCATAAAGATGATTTATCTGACAGTATCCAAACCACAAAGGTGACTTATTTGACAGTATCAAAACCATAAAGGTGATTTATCTGACAGTATCCAAACACAGAAATTGATTTATCTGACAAAATCCACACCCTAAATGTAATTTCTCTGACAGTATCCAAAACCTAAAGTTGATTTATCTGACATAAAACCATAAAAGTGACTTATCTGACCTATCTAAATCATGACAGTGATTTATCTGACACCAAAGCTTAAAGGTGATTTATCTTATGGTATCCAAATCCTAAAGGTAATTTATCTGACAGTATCCGAACCTTGAAATTGATTTATCTAACAGTATCCAATCTCAGAAATTGATTTATCCGACAGTATCCAAACCATGACATTGATTTATCTGACAGTATTCAGACCTTAAAGGTTATTTATCTGACAGTATCCATTCACTAAAACCTATTTATTTGACAGTATCCATACACTGAAACTGATTTATCTGAAAGTATCCATATACTGAAACTGGTTTATCTGAAAGTATCCATACACTGAAACTGGTATATCTGAAAGTATCCAAACACTGACATTGATTTATCTGACAGTATCCAAATGCTGAAATTAATATATCTAACAGTGCAACCCTGAAACTGATTTGTATCCTAACCCTGATATTGATTTTTCTGACAGTATCAAAACTCAGAAACTGATTTATCTGACAGCATCCTCCAAACCCTGAAATTGATATTTCTAACAGTATCCAAACTCAGAAATTGATTTATCTGACAGTATCCAAACTCAGAAATTGATTTATCTGACAGCATCCTCCAAACACTGAAATTGATAATTCTAACAGTATACAAACCCCGAAATTGATTAATCGACAGCATCCAAACCCTGAAATTGAATTATCTGACAGTATCAAAACCCTAAAAGTGATTTTTCTGACAGTATCTAAACCCTGAAATTGATTAATCTGACAGTCTCCAAACCTTGAAATTGATTTATCTGTCAGTATCCAAACCCTAAAATTAATTTATCTGACATAATCTAAGCCCCTAAAATTGATTTATCTCACAGTATCTAAACCCCTAAAAATTGATTTATCTGACAGTATCTCATTTCCTAAAATTGATTTATCTGACAGTGTATAAGACATAAAATTGATTTATCCGACAGTATCTAAGGTCCTAAATTTGATTTATCTGACAGTGTATAAGAACTAAAATTGATTTATCCGACAATATCTAAGCCCCTAAAATTGATTTATCTGACAGCGTATAAGACCTAAAATTGATTTATCCGACAGTGTATAAGACCTACAATTTATTTATCCGACAGTATCTAAAGCCCTAAAATTTATTTATCTGACAGTGTATAGAACCTAAAATTGATTTATCTGTCAGTATCCAAACTCTAAAATTGATTTATCTGACAGTATCTAAGCCCCTAAAATTGATTTATCTGACAGTATCTAAGCCCCTAAAATTGATTGATCTGACAGTATCTAAGCCCCTAAAATTGATTTACCCGACAATATCTAAGAACCTAAAATTGATTTATCTGACAGTATCTAAGCCCTGAATAAACTTCACCAACATGGCCTTCAGCTAGCACACTTCCTGCCTGGATCCTGATCAAGGAATGATGTCACCTATAAATCCAATCCAGCAGATGCCATTAACCGATAAATGCCACTATAACTTGCACGGTAAAATAAATACTCACCACTCCACTGGTTTCCCCGGAGTCTTGTGCCTGCAACGACAAAAGAAATCACAAACTTAAATATATAGCTGACACACACGATACAAAATATGTGATGATAAACATTCCCTCACATCACCAACACAACAGAGAATACAGAAGTTACACGTCTACATAACCACGCGTTGACAGAACAGAAGTTACACGTCTACATAACCAGGCGTTGACAGAACAGAAGTTACACGTCTACATTGCCAGACGTTGACAGAACAGAAGTTACACGTCTACATAACCAAACGTTGACAGAACACAAGTTACACGTCTACATAACCAGGCGTTGACAGAACAGAAGTTACACGTCTACATAACCAGACGTTGACAGAACAGAACTTACACGTCTACATAACCACGCGTTGACAGAACAGAAGTTACACGTCTACATAACCAGGCGTTGACAGAACAGAAGTTACACGTCTACATAACCAGACGTTGACAGAACAGAAGTTACACGTCTACATAACCAGACGTTGACAGAACAGAAGTTACACATCTACATAACCAGGCGTTGACAGAACAGAAGTTACACGTCTACATAACCAGGCGTTGACAGAACAGAAGTTACACGTCTACATAATCACGCGTTGACAGAACAGAAGTTACACGTCTACATAACCAGGCGTTGACAGAACAGAAGTTACACGTCTACATAACCAGGCGTTGACAAAACAGAAGTTACACGTCTACATAACCAGACGTTGACAGAACAGAAGTTACACATCTACATAACCAGACGTTGACAGAACAGAAGTTACACGTCTACACAACCAGGCGTTGACAGAACAGAAGTTACACGTCTACATAACCAGGCGTTGACAGAACAGAAGTTACACGTCTACATAACCAGGCGTTGACAGAACAGAAGTTACACGTCTACATAACCAGGCGTTGACAGAACAGAAGTTACAAATCTACATAACCAGGCGTTGACAGAACAGAAGTTACAAATCTACATAACCAGACGTTGACAGAACAGAAGTTACAAATCTACATAACCAGGCGTTGACAGAACAGAAGTTACACATCTACATAACCAGACGTTGACAGAACAGAAGTTACACGTCTACATAACCAGGCGTTGGCAGAACAGAAGTTACACGTCTACAGAGTTAGGCTTTGATAGAAGAGAAGTTACACGTCTAGTTTTCATTTCTACTGTAGCATGGCCTAAGAATGTTTCTTACTGGCGCCCCCTTCAACTTGTTTGTATTGGTGTTAAAAGCCTCACATGCTAAGTGAGGTCTGAAGCCGGTAATTGTATAATAATTGCTTCTTTCTCAAATTAAACGCTGCTGTACCTAACGCTACTTCCATTGCTTCTTTTGGTGTACTTATACTGGTACCCACATCGACGGCCAGTGCTTGGCGCTGTATACTGTCTAGTTTTTCTTTGTAGTAATCAGTTGCCGAGTCATAGACTATACTTCCATATTCTAGTTTCCCTCTCAGAAACACTTCATAAAATTCTACAAGATTGGCTTGATGAGCAAGCCATTGCCCTTTAATTATCCTTAACAAATTGCTAATTCTTGTACATTTGTCTACCGTGACAATATGTTAGCCCCAATTCAGCTGTTCGTCCAGAATAATTTCTAGAAACTGTGTGCTCGTTACTCTATGGTTGTTCTTCTATTGAATCTAATTGTATAAGTATTTCTTTCAGAGTAGCGTTGGCTTTTGTAGTTGACTACAATGCTTACAGTTTTGCTGGTATTTATTTTGAAACCCCCTTTACTCATCCAATTAATACCATTATTAACTTCTTTTTGTAAACTGTTTCTTGCCGTCCTCACTAATTTATCACATGTAGATATCAAACAATCATCCGTAAACTGTGTCAGGCTTACTCTTGAGTCCTTAATTACCAAGCCAGAATCATTAACCAGGATTGAGAATACTGTTGGAAAGAACGCCGCACCTTGGGGGAATCCGTCTCCTGTGCGTCAATATTCGATCTCTCATTGTTAATGATCAGTGAGTATGTCCTGTATTCAAAGAAACTCTGAATGTACCTATATACTTGCCCACCTAATCCTAATATTATGTTGACTTGATACAGGACGATTTATTGCCAACTCTGGTCGTAAGCTTGAGCAAAGTCTACAAAATAGAGCTACAGTTTAAATTCTAATTTTGAATTACAGACGGCTGGTTCTATGCCACTTAGACAGCGACCTCTGACTTCTAAGAAAACGTAACTCTTATCTTCGCTAATAAAAATAAAATTATCGCGAAAGAAAAAGAAGACAAAAGAAAACAAAAAGAAAATATGAGAAACAAGGAGATAAGGTGTGTGAATGTTTACCGGTTTTCTTCGATACGTTGCCGTTTCCTCATTTTCTCCTCGTCTGTCAGAATGTACTCTTTGCGCATGCCGATCTCGAAACATTTTCTCAAACGACATCGCTTGCAGAACCTGCGGTTGGAGACGTCCATCTTGCATTTCTCCTCGTATGGGCACTTGAAGTACTCCTGCAGACACAACAACACCGATCTCGGTCTTTTATACGTCTCGGTCAAATCGTTATACATATCTTGGTCATTTACACACATTATTCAACTGTTTACCTATTTCAGAAATGTAAAAATCTCAGTGGACTGTTCACATATCTCAGGCACCAAAACAAGTTACAGGTATCATTCTCTGTGGCTTTCGATTGGTCAGTCGACTATATCCTTTCGTATCTGAGTCTGATGTCTTCTCAATTGTCTGTCTGTCACGAAATCTCTGAGTTTATTATTTTTTTTAAAGAACTGAAGATATGATACCTGGCATTATTCCGTCACTGATCTACCTTTCACCCCACACAGTATATGTCAAGATAAAGTATTGCCTTACACGGCATCACCCTCACATAACACCTCACAGCTGCCTTGTTTGTTGAGATTACCCCAACTACACCCACACACCTCTACCTCACACACCCCTACCTCGAACACCTCTACCACACATACACCTCAACCTCACACATCTGTACCTCACACACCTCTCTTAAATAGGTTACCTCTACCCCACACACCTCTGTGAGATAAAAGTGACTAGCTCAACAAAAAGCAGACGTGGTAGCCAGGGGTTGCCAGGTGATATATGCCGTGTCATGTCAGACAGGCATGTCGTGTACTTGTTTACTCCTGGCTACCGGCTTGTGCAGACTTAATTATACACGTCACGGTGGCATCTGCTTGTTTTTCTCCGACAGCTCTTTCATCTATGGGACATCTTGAGACACACACGCCGACACGGTCATATCTTGAGACACAAGCCAACACAGTGACATCTTGAGACACATAAGCCGACAGGGTCATATCTTGAGACACACAAGCCGACACGGTGACATCTTGAGACACACAAGCCGACACGGTGATATCTTGAGACATACAAGCCGACACGGTGACATCTTGAGACACACAAGCCGACAGGGTCATATCTTGAGACACACAAGCTGACACGGTGACATCTTGAGACACACAAGCCGACACGGTCATATCTTGAGACACACACGCCGACACGGTGACATCTTGAGACACACAAGCCGACACGGTGACATCTTGAGACACACAAGCCGACACGGTGACATCTTGAGACACACAAGCCGACACGGTGACATCTTGAGACACACAAGCCGACACGGTCATATCTTGAGACACACAAGCCGACACGGTGACATCTTGAGACACACAAGCCGACACGGTCATATCTTGAGACACACAAGCCGACACGGTGACATCTTGAGACACACAAGCCGACAAGGTCATATCTTGAGACACACAAGCCGACACGGTGACATCTTGAGACACACACGCCGACCCGGTCACATTTTGAGACACACAAGCCGACCCGGTCACATCTTGAGACACACAAGCCGAGCCGGTCACATCTTGAGACACACAAGCCGACACGGTGACATCTTGAGACACACAAGCCGACACGGTCATATCTTGAGACACACACGTTGACACGGTGACATCTTGAGACACACACACCGACCCGGTCACATCTTGAGAAACAAGCCGACCCAGTCACATCTTGAGACACACAAGCCGACACGGTGACATCTTGAGACACACAAGCCGACACGGTCATATCTTGAGACACACACGCCGACACGGTGACATCTTGAGACACACACACCGACCCGGTCACATCTTGAGAAACAAGCCGACAGGGTCATATCTTGAGACACACAAGCCGACACGGTGACATCTTGAGACACACACGCCGACCCGGTCACATTTTGAGACACACAAGCCGACACGGTGACATCTTGAGACACACAAGCCGACAGGGTCATATCTTGAGAAACACAAGCCGACACGGTCATATCTTGAGAAACACAAGCCGACACGGTCATATCTTGAAACACACAAGCCGACACGGTCATATCTTGAGAAACACAAGCCGACACGGTCACATCTGGCAGTGCTGATCAATGTCCAGGAAATCTCCTTATGTTCTTGGTTAGATTCAAGAGAACATTCAGAAACAACACACCATCTGAGCTTTCTTAGGTCTCAACATCAATCCAAGCCTTCTTGACTCTCAACACTACATGTGTCTCAACATCAAACCAAGCCTTCTTGACTCTCAACACATCTTCTCAATTCTTCATGTATCTTTCGCCCCCCCCCCCCGGCTTATAAGATGTTTCAGCACATCCTTAGCATTATGTTTCTCAACACGCCCCCTCAACACTACATGTGTCTCAACACGTCGATCTCCCTCAACAATACATGTGTCTCAACACGTCGATCTCCCTCAACACTACATGTGTCTCAACACGTCCATCTCCTCAACACTACATGAGTCTCAACACGTCCATCCCCCCAACACTACATGAGTCTCAACACGTCCATCTCCCCAACATTACATGTGTCTCAACACGTCGATCTCCCTCAACACTACATGTGTCTCAACACGTCCATCCCCCAACACTACATGTGTCTCAACACGTCGATCTCCCTCAACACTACATGTGTCTCAACACGTCCATCCCCCAACACTACATGTGTCTCAACACGTCGATCTCCCTCAACACTACATGTGTCTCAACACGTTCATCCCCCAACACTACATGTGTCTCAACACGTCGATCTCTCCCAACACTACATGTGTCTCAACACGTCCATTCCCCCAACACTACATGTGTCTCAACACGTCGATCTCCCTCAACACTACATGTGTCTTAACACGTCCATCCCCCCAACACTACATGTGTCTCAACAGGTCGATCTCCCTCAACACTACATGTGTCTCAACACGTCCATCTCCCCAACACTACATGTGTCTCAACACGTCGATCTCCCTCAACACTACATGTGTCTCAACACGTCCGTCCCCCCAACACTACATGTGTCTCAACACGTCGATCTCCCTCAACACTACATGTGTCTCAACACGTCCGTCCCCCCAACACTACATGTGTCTCAACACGTCGATCTCCCTCAACACTACATGTGTCTCAACACGTCCGTCCTCCCAACACTACATGTGTCTCAACACGTCGATCTCCCTCAACACTACATGAGTCTCAACACGTCCATCTCCCCAACATTACATGTGTCTCAACACGTCGATCTCCCTCAACACTACATGTGTCTCAACACGTCCATCCCCCAACAATACATGTGTCTCAACACGTCGATCTCCCTCAACACTACATGTGTCTCAACACGTCCATCCCCCAACACTACATGTGTCTCAACACGTCGATCTCCCTCAACACTACATGTGTCTCAACACGTCCATCCCCCAACACTACATGTGTCTCAACACGTCAATCTCCCTCAACACTACATGTGTCTTAACACGTCCATCCCCCCAACACTACATGTATCTCAACGCGTCGATCTCCCTCAACACTACATGTGTCTCAACACGTCCATCACCCCAACACTACATGTGTCTCAACACGTCGATCTCCCTCAACACTACATGTGTCTCAACACGTCCGTCCCCCCAACACTACATGTGTCTCAACACGTCGATCTCCCTCAACACTACATGTGTCTCAACACGTCCATCTCCCCCAACACTACATGTGTCTCAACCCCCCTCCCCCACCCAACCAGTCTTGTGTCCCGCGCCGTTGTTAAATTAACTCATTCTAGCAAAACCAGTGGCTGAAGTGTGTATGTTCACATTGTTTTAATGTTTTAACTCTTTGAAGCCGAATCGTGCTTTCATTAATATAAAGCTAGCAGAGGAGAAGAGACGGTAAAACTCATGGCGATAGACAGAGAACGTGTAAAGCTCATGGAGACGTAGATTTGTAAAACTCATAGCGATAGACAGAGATGCGTAAAATTCAGGGAGACAGAGATATGTAAAACTCACGGTGATAGACAAAGACATGTAAAACTCACGGTGATAGATAGAGATATGTTAAACTCACGGTGATAGTCAGAGATATGTAAAACTCACGGTGATAGACAGGGATATGTAAAACTCACGGTGATAGTCAGAGGTATGTAAAACTCACGGTGATAGACAGAGATATGTAAAACTCACGGTGATAGACAGAGATATGTAAAACTCACGGTGATAGTCAGAGGTATGTAAAACTCACGGTGATAGTCAGAGATATGTAAAACTCACGGTGAAAGACAGAGATATGTAAAACTCACAGTGATAGTCAGAGATATGTAAAACTCATGGCGATAGACAGAGACCGTGAAAAGCTCATTGAGACGTAGATGTGTAAAACTCATGGCGATAGACAGAGATGCGTAAAACTCACGGAGACAGAGACATGTAAAACTCACGGTGATAGACAATGTAAAACTCACGGTGACAGACAGGGATATGTAAAACTCACTAGGACACCGGTGATAGATGGAGATATGCAAAACTCACTGGAACACCGGTGCTAAACAGAAATATGTAAAACTTACTGCAACACCGGTGATAGACAGAGATATGTTAAACTCACAGGAACACCGGTGATAGACAGAGATATGTAAAACTCACTGGAACACCAGTGCTAGACAGAAATATGTAAAACTCATTAGGACACCGGTGATAGACAGAGATATGTACAACTCACTGCAACACCGGTGATAGACAGAGATATGTAAAACTTACAGGAACACCGGTGATAGACAGAGATATGTAAAACTCACTGCAACACCGGTAATAGGCAGAGATATGTAAAACTCACTGCAACACCAGTGATAGACAGAGATATGTAAAACTCACTGCAACACCGGTGATAGACAGAGATTTGTTAAACTCACAGGACACCGGTGATAGACAGAGATATGTAAAACTCACTGGAACACCAGGGCTAGACAGAAATATGTAAAACTCATTAGGACACCGGTGATAGACAGAGATATGTAAAACTCACTGCAACACCGGTGATAGACAGAGATGTGTAAAACTCACTGCAACACCGGTGATAGACAGAGATTTGTTAAACTCACAGGACACCGGTGATAGACAGAGATATGTAAAACTCACTGGAACACCAGGGCTAGACAGAAATATGTAAAACTCATTAGGACACCGGTGATAGACAGAGATATGTAAAACTCACTGGGACACCGGTGATAGACAGAGATATGTAAAACTCACTGGAACACCAGTGCTAGACAGAAACATGTAAAACTCATTAGGACACCGGTGATAGACAGAGATATGTAAAACTCACTGGGACACCGGTGATAGACAGAGATATGTAAAACTTACTGGAACACCGGTGATAGACAGAGATATGTAAAACTCACAGGAACACCGGTGATAGACAGAGATATGTACAACTTACTGCAACACCGGTGATAGACAGAGATATTTTAAACTCACTGCAACACCGGTGATAGATAGAGATATGTAAAACTCACAGGAACACCGGTGATAGAAAGAGATATGTAAAACTCACTGCAATACCGGTGATAGACAGAGATATGTAAAACTCACAGGAACACCGGTGATAGACAGAGATATGTAAAACTCACTGCAACACCGGTGATAGATAGAGATATGTAAAACTCACTGCAACACCGGTGATAGATAGAGATATGTAAAACTCACTGCAACACCTGTGATAGATAGAGTTGTCTCGTGAGACTAGTTGTTTGTGAAACGTCTTCTGTGTTTACATTGTGTGTGTGTAGATTTCGTGAGAGCCTAATGAAGAGCCGGTGTGTGTGTGTGTACATTGTGTGAGAGCCTAATGAAGAGCCGGTGTGTGTGTGTGTACATTGTGTGAGAGCCTAATGAAGAGCCGGTGTGTGTGTGTGTACATTGTGTGAGAGCCTAATGAAGAGCCGGTGTGTGTGTGTGTATGTGTGTACATTGTGTAATAGCCTAATGAAGAGCTGGTGTGTGTGTGTGTACATTGTGTGAGAGCCTAATGAAGAGCCGGTGTGTGTATGTGTGTACATTGTGTGAGAGCCTAATGAAGAGCCGGTGTCCGTGTACATTGTGTAAGAACCTAATGCAGGTCTGGTGTGTGTGTTTACATTGTGTGAGAGCCTGATTAGGAGCCGGTGTGTGTTTGTGTGTGTGTACACTGTGTGCGAGCCTAAGGAAGAGCCTTTGTGTGTGTGTGTGTGTGTGCGTGTACATTGTGTAACGGCCTAATGAAGAGCCAGTGTGTGTATGTACATTGTGCGATAGTCTAATGAAGAGCTGGTGTGTGTGTGTACATTGTGTGAGAGCCTAATGAAGAGCCGGTGTGTGTGTGTGTACATTGTGTGAGAGCCTAATGAAGAGCCGGTGTGTGTGTGTGTACATTGTGTGAGAGCCTAATGAAGAGCCGGTGTGTGTGTGTGTGTGTGTGTGTGTTTGTGTGTACATTGTGTAATAGCCTAATGAAGAGCTGGTGTGTGTGTGTACATTGTGTGAGAGCCTAATGAAGAGCCGGTGTGTGTGTGTGTGTGTGTGTGTGTGTACATTGTGTGAGAGCCTAATGAAGAGCCGGTGTCCGTGTACATTGTGTAAGAACCTAATGCAGGTCTGGTGTGTGTGTGTACATTGTGTGAGAGCCTGATTAGGAGCCGGTGTGTGTTTGTGTGTGTGTGTACACTGTGTGCGAGCCTAAGGAAGAGCCTTTGTGTGTGTGTGTGTGTGTGTGTGTGTGCGTGTACATTGTGTAACGGCCTAATGAAGAGCCAGTGTGTGTATGTACATTGTGCGATAGTCTAATGAAGAGCTGGTGTGTGTGTGTGTGTGTGTGTACATTGTGTAATAGCCTAATGAAGAGCTGGTGTGTGTGTGTGTACATTGTGGGACAGCCTTATGAACAGCTGGTGTGTATGTGTTGTACATTTTGTGAGGGCCTAATAAAGAGCTGGTGTGTGTGTGTGTACATTGTGTTAGAGCCTAACGAAGAGCCGGTGTGCGTGTACATTGTATGAGAGCCTAATGAAGAGAGAGTGTGTGTGTGTGTGTGTGTACTTTGTGTGAGAGCCTAATGAAGAGGATGTGTGTAGGTGTACATTGTGTGAGAGCCTAATGAAGAGGATGTGTGTAGGTGTACATTGTGTGAGAGCGTAATGAAGAGGATGTGTGTAGGTGTACATTGTGTGAGAGCCTAATGAAGAGGATGTGTGTAGGTGTACATTGTGTGAGAGCCTAATGAAGAGGATGTGTGTAGGTGTACATTGTGTGAGAGCCTAATGAAGAACTAGTGTATGTGTACATTGTGTGGGAGCCTAATGAAGAGCCGGTGTGTGTGTGTTTGTGTGTATAAACATTGTGTGAAAGCCTAATGAAAAGCCAGTGTGCGTGTGTGTACATTGTGTAATAGCTTAATGAACAGCCGGTGTGTGTGTGTGTGTGCACATTGTGTGAGAGCCTAACGAAGAGCCGGTGTGCGTGTGTACATTGTGTGAGAGCTTAGTGAAGAGCCGGTGTGTGTGTGTACTTTGTGTGAGAGCTTAATGAAGATCGTGTGTGTGTGTGTACATTGTGTGAGAGCCTAATGAAGAGACGATGTGTTTGTACTTTGTGTGAGAGCCTAATGAAGAGCAGGTGTGTGTGTACATTGTGTGAGAGCCTAATAAAGAGCAGGTGTGTGTGTGTACTTTGTGTGAGAGCCTAATAAAGATCAGGTGTGTGTGTACATTGTGTGAGAGCCTAATGAAGAGCAGGTGTGAGTGTACATTGTGTGAGAGCCTAATAAAGAGCAGGTGTGTGTGTGTACTTTGTGTGAGAGCGTAATAAAGATCAGGTGTGTGTGTACATTGTGTGAGAGCCTAATGAAGAGCCGGTGTGTGTATGCTACGAACATAGACACACACACTGACTCGCACACGCACACTACGACAGACACACATACTAGTGCAGAAAACGTAATCAGGTAGTTGTGAATTAAAAGAAATTTCGTGCGCGCGCGCACTTACACATATTCACTTGTGGGGTTAATGAAGAAACTATGAATGTGCAAGAAACTTTGATGACATAACATTTAGTGCTTAACTGTGGATTAAGTCAGAATCACTGTTATGTGTGAGTAAGTGTGTGTGTGTGTGTGTGTGTGTGTGTGTGTGAGAGAGAGAGAGAGACAGACAGACAGACAGACAGACCGACCGACCGAACGACCGACCGACTACCGAGCAGCAGGCAGGCAGGCAGGCAGACAGGCAGACAGACAGACAGACAGACAGACATATTTCGCGCCCCGTGAGTGCTGCTAAGACTCCATGTCAATAACTTACTGAAGAACCTGCACACGTGTCTGTGTGAAACCCCACGACCTAAGATTAACGATGAAAGACGCACAGGTGTGTGAACTAATCAAGCCCCTGGGCCGTGTACGAACTCAGGCTCTGGGATATCGCTGAAGCAGGTGTGCCAGGACCGGGGTCACCGAGTGACATTTGCTTATTGTGTGTCAGGTCATACAGTGCCTGCACAGACGACGGAAGCATGAGGGCCAACCGGGTTGCCTGTTTGTAGTTCAGTGTCATATAATGACAGGTGATTAAGTGCCAATCTCCACACATAGATGCCGAGGAAGACTTTCGAGCCGCAACGTTCGTACTGCGATTCGGGATTGTGTTACTGTGAAGCTGACAGATTCTATTTTTCGCTTGTATTAACATTGTTTTTAGGTTTCCCAGTGTCACAGAATCGTCTCGTCTGTCGGCTCAGGGCTGCTGCCTGAAGGTTTGATCTCTCAGATGTGTAAGCCAACAGGGCAAATCCAAGACAACCGTTCAACCTCTACAACTGTTACGGTAGACACCAGCCCGGTGAACTTTCAGTGCTGCTCGGGTCAGGAGCTATGTATAATGTGCTACATGTGATCCTGTGATTGAACTGGACATTGAGACAGCTGTTACGGTTGACACCAGCCCGGTGAACTTGCAGTGCTGCTCGGGTCAGGAGATATGTATAGTGTGCTAGATGTGATTCTGTGACTGAACCTGGACATTTCCATTGAACTCTGATGTTGCCGTTTTCTCTGGAATTCCGTATAAGAGGAGCAATGGCCGTAAAATATTCTACTGCCGATTCTTTTAACAACTACAAAGATAAGGGAACCAGATCTGCAACAGGTAGAGACGGAAGCCTAGCTACTGCACCCCGAGCAGCGGAGGGTGTTGAGTTATTGTTCTGTTTGAGGATGGAGGCCAGAAGAGACTTTAAGGTGGACACTATGGTAAAGTGGGAAGTGGGTTATCGTGATTATCCACAATTTATCTATAGTACGTTTACAAATTTATGACCACGTTTGCAATCTATTTTCTCGAAAACTTCCTGTTAGATCGCAATGATTGTTTTGCATGAAGCCTTTAAATAAACACTCTATTCTTTAGTGCATAGATGCTGAGGATTTTGCTAATCAGCGTATTCCTTTGATCTTCTTAAACCACTGTAAATAAGTAGAGTGTTAATGTCATCTTGTTCGTTTTCCTGGGTCACGATATCGCAGTGCAAATGACCCATCTTAGAGTCCCGGCTAAAGGTGCTGCTACAGTAAAATGGAAACCTCTGCGTAGTTATACATTTTCTACACCTCAGCTCCTGCTGTCCCAGAAACTTCAGCGGCTGATGAAAGTATATTGTTGAAATGATGTACTTTCTACGTGTGGGTTCCGGGACCCCACTGTGGGAAAGACAACAATAGACCCAATGCCTCCTAACGAGCATATCGTAAGAGTTTAATATCGGACTTCCTTCGACGTCGAAGTGCCTATGCCTCAGATGCAAGGAACCACCGTCTGCATTCACACAATTCACATCTGACAAACTGACGTGCACGCAACATTCAGGTTCTGGAACACGACTCAAGAGGTGGACGAACAACATCAAAACCTTCACCAGAGTTGACAGCCGGTGAACACCAAACAGAAGAATAAGAATATATTGCGTGTTTGTGCGCGCGCGGGTAATTGTGTGTGTGTGTCTGTGTTTATGTGTGTGTGTGTGTGTGATTAATGGTTCCACACAGTACAACAGCCGAGATCACTTACTAGGCCCTTGGGGGCGTTCCTTCTGAAGAAAGCCTTGCAGGACTCGCAAGAGATGGCATCGAAGTTGTAGCCCAGAGCTCTGTCCCCGCACACGCCGCAGTATTTGTCCTCCTTATTCTTGCGGGCCTTGCCGCAGCCCATCCCGTCAGTGGGCGAGTGACTCAGCGAGCGGTAGTGGTGGGCCATGTGATCCATGCTGCCGTGATCGTCGAAGCTGAAACAGACAGAACATCTTTATGAAACATGTCTACACAATCACATCTATCTGCTCCTTCTTTTCCTCACGCCTTTTATCTCCCAGTGGAGCCTGTACTCACTGCCAACTTACACCATGCCAGTTATAGACTTCTTCAGCTTTCATTGGAATCTGCTCTTACAGCTCTCTACGGGATGCTGTAACTGACTGACTGACCTTCTACCCCACCAGGACATCACACAAGCGATAAACACCCGATGACACAAAGCGCCACCATGCGGATGACGATCGCCGTGGAGAGGTCCCAGAAACCGCGTTCAGACATTTGGCCATATGTATGGCCTGCCTATATTGCGGCCCCTGGCAAAAGCCAGAGTAGGGCTTCAAATGACAAAAAATTTCGTCCTAAAAAGAACGAAATTGGATGTATAAACAGGGATGCTGTGGTAGTTTCATGCCACCCCTCTTACAACATGCGTGTTAGATTACAACGTTTCACAAGGTCCGACAATTAAGTAATGAGATTAATTTCATAAAAATTAAAATAATCAACAATTGAAGATATAACCTGTATCTAATTCTAAATTAGTCACTAGTGCATTGATACAGCAAGTGGCACGATCTAACAAACATTGGGTCGACCTCTGTAGTTCTTCTGTTGTTATGGCCCCTACAGTCAATGTTACGGCCCTCTGAATGTCATCACTATCGTTATAGAAGCGTCCTTTCAATCGTAACTCTAATTTTCGGAATAGAAAATATTAACAGGCAGATAAATCTGGGGAATATGGTGGAAGGCTGAAGACTTGTTTTGGGGCCAAAAATTCCTGTTTTAATGATGTCTCTTAGGTACTCAACCCGATGATGTTTTTGGTCATCAGACAACGAATGTGGTACACACCGACGAGAAATTTATTCTTGATAAAATCTTACACTAAAATGTTATGAATGGTCTCTCTATTAACACAGATTTATCTGCCATCATTCTCACAGTAAAACAATGATCCTCTTGTATCCGTTCTCCGGCTTTTGCAATAAGTTCATCATTACAAACAGAAATTTGGCGTCCAGGTCTATATGCATTGGTAATCATTTCTCTAGCACTTTTGAATCGGGAATACCACCTGAAAATCTGTGCACGAGATAAACAATTATCCCCATAAACTTCTTGCCTCAATTCAACTGTTTCAATGGTTCTTTTTCTGAGTTTTAAAAATAATTAAATATTAGCTTTTTGCTACGTGCTGATTACGTAACAATTCACCTCTGACACCAAAAAGGTGGCTTGTCTGTTGTCTGCTTATCAAGCGGCATGAGAATTTGCCAGATCATAGATGAATGTTCCCTCTTTAGATTCCATGTTTTGCTTCATAGATGGCATTTTTGTCTTGGCCATATTAAAATCAGTCTCATGACCTTATTGTCAGACCTTGTATGTCCTTCTTACAGACAGGCGCACGTGCAAACAAATATTTTGAAATCGAGGATATACATGAGCAGGCATATATTTGGTGGTCCAGACACAAACGATAGAAAGGACGAACTGAGCTGATGATGTTGGGAGATGTAACTTTGCTGACTACGTTTGTGGGGAACCTCCCTCAGCCATGAAACCTAAAACAAACGGACAACGATGTGCTGTAATGTGGAGGTAATTTAACACAGAACTACCGCGCCAGCTGGCCAAAGAGCTAACCACACAGCTTCTGCCACTGCCAAGGAATGCCGTAATAACGACAAGATGGCCTCGGTGTGTCCGGGAAGTTGGGTGAACTCTCTCTTCAGGAGCACTGAAGTTCGAGGACAACAGAGTGTTTGGTTGAGGTCGTGCAGTGCAGGACAGATTAGATCAGCAACAAACTTTGGGAACACCTGACACGATCCCATCAGCGACCACCTGAAGCACACAACAGTTGAGACAAGGTGGGGTCAACATCAGTTCAGACCGCGGGCAAGAAAACATCACATTCCCCAACAGTTGTCCTAGCGACGGCTCTGTGTCTTCTCTTCTAATTTTGCTAGCTCTTTTTTGGCCTGACCCTAAACATGGCCAAACATGACACATTGGTTTAAGAACACTGACCCCGTCACTGGGTGCAAGGACAGTGTGGGGTCTAGGTGAAGGATGCCGCTTTGGTCAAGGATGGATGAAGCTGCTTCTCCTGGCCAGGTATCTGTTGAAACTACAGGACGATGTTTTGATGACTTGTGTACTCAGTAGCGGTCACCGAAGTATTATCACTACCACGCGCCGTGTTTTCTGGAATCAGATCTGTGTTCATGTCCAGGCAATCCCGTCGTTGATCTGTTTGTATTTTTTCCCATTGCTATATTCCCAAAAAGTTAACCTGCTGTCGATAAGTTTACCAATTGTCGTTAAAACTATTAGTTGTCGTTAAAACGACCAGTAAAGTTTTCAAGCTCATGCCCTCTGACGAGTTCAGCCCTCGAGACTAACCAGGATGCAGTCCTCGTCTGTTTTTAGGAAGGTTACTTCGTTCATTGTTCTCTCCGCCCATGGTATTGTGCACAATTCTCCCACACTCACCACATGATCGTTGCCATGTCAGTTTATTGTCCGCGCTGTCCACACACGCAGCAGTATTGGTTCCATAAAGCACTTATACACTCTATTCGGTAATGTAACTGGCAACTGAGTAAGAACTATATCTGATGTCGTCGGTTCGAACCCGGTCTCTTCTGGAAACCCAGGTTCTTTTCTTTGACATTTGATCTCCTAAGGTAAGAGCTTTGGCTTAAGTGATGTCGACAGGGTCTATGTGTGACAGTAACGTCACAGTAATGACGGTAGATGGCGACAGGGTCTATGTGTGACAGTAACGTCACAGTAATGAGGGTAGATGTCGACAGGGTCTATGTGTGACAGTAACGTCACAGTAATGACGGTAGATGTCGACAGGGTCTATGTGTGACAGTAACGTCACAGTAATGAGGGTAGATGTCGACAGGGTCTATGTGTGACAGTAACGTCACAGTAATGACGGTAGATGTCGACAGGGTCTATGTGTGACAGTAACGTCACAGTAATGACGGTAGATGTCGACAGGGTATATGTGTGACAGTAACGTCACAGTAATGACGGTAGATGTCGACAGGGTCTATGTGTGACACTAACGTCACAGTAATGACGGTAGATGTCGACAGGGTCTATGTGTGACAGTAACGTCACAGTAATGACGGTAGATGTCGACAGAGTCTATGTGTGACAGTAACGTCACAGTAATGAAGGTAGATGCCGACAGAGTCTATGTGTGACAGTAACGTCACAGTAATGACGGTAGATGTCGACAGAGTCTATGTGTGACAGTAACGTCACAGTAATGACGGTAGATGTCGACAGGGTCTATGTGTGCAGGATCTATGTGTGACAGTAACGTCACAGTAATGACGGTAGATGTCGAGAGAGTCTATGTGTGCAGGATCTATGTGTGACAGTAACGTCACAGTAATGACGGTAGATGTCGACAGAGTCTATGTGTGCAGGATCTATGTGTGACAGTAACGTCACAGTTATGACGGTAGATGTCGACAGGGTCTATGTGTGCAGGATCTATGTGTGACAGTAACGTCACAGTAATGACGGTAGATGTCGACAGGGTCTATGTGTGCAGGATCTATGTGTGACAGTAACGTCACAGTAATGACGGTAGATGTCGACAGGGTCTATGTGTGACAGTAACGTCACAGTAATGATGGTAGATGTCGACAGGGTCTATAAGTGCAGGATCTATGTGTGACAGTAACGTCACAGTAATGACGGTAGATGTCGATAGAGTGTATGCGTGACAGTAACGTCACAGTAATAACTGTAGATGTCGACAGGGTCTATGTGTGACAGTAACGTCACAGTAATGAGGGTAGATGTCGACAGGGTCTATGTGTGACAGTAACGTCACAGTAATGACGGTAGATGTCGACAGGGTCTATGTGTGCAGGATATGTGTGTGACAGTAACGTCACAGTAATGACGGTAGATGTCGACAGAGTGTATGTGTGACAGTAACGTCACAGTAATGACGATAGATGTCGACAGGGTCTATGTGTGACAGTAACGTCACAGTAATGAGGGTAGATGTCGACAGGGTCTATGTGTGACAGTAACGTCACAGTAATGACGGTAGATGTCGACAGGGTCTATGTGTGCAGGATCTATGTGTGACAGTAACGTCACAGTAATGACGGTAGATGTCGACAGAGTGTATGTGTGACAGTAACGTCACAGTAATGAGGGTAGATGTCGACAGGGTCTATGTGTGAGAGTAACGTCACAGTAATGACGGTAGATGTCGACAGGGTCTATGTATGCAGGATCTATGTGTGACAGTAACGTCACAGTAATGACGGTAGATGTCGACAGAGTGTATGTGTGACAGTAACGTCACAGTAATGCAAGACATGGGTAATCTATTGTCCCCTGACATCCAACGTTTTCCTCTGACGTTCTGAGTCAGTACACTTCTAAATCCCCGCGTTTCTTTGTTGTTGTCGCTGTGTGAAAGCTGTGGTTGTCCATAAATATGCGATATCTTGCGAATATCAAACCACCCAAATATATCACTGTGGTAAGTCTCTTCGTTACTTGTAAACGTTGTTCACTCACTAAGAGAGTGATGACATGCAGTGTCAGCCATATTCTGCTGTATAGCCACGACACCTGTAGCTCCAGTGTCAGCCACCCATGAGTTCAAAGATAAGGAACAACAGCAGCAGCAAAAGAGGAAGGTCAGAGGGAGATAAAGACGACGACGATGAGAAGGAGGAGGGACAGCAGCGGCAACAGAATGAGAAGAAGAATAAAAGAACGAAGAAGAAGAAGAAGCAGAATAAAAAGAAGAAAAAGAAGAAGAAAAAGACGAGGAAGAAAAAGAAGACGAAGTAGCAGAAGAAGAAGAAGAAGAAGAAGAAGAAGAAGAAGAAGAAGAAGAAGAAGAAGAAGAAGAAGAAGAAGAAGAAGAAGAAGAAGAAGAAGAAGAAGAAGAAGAAGAAGAAGAAGAAGA